GAGTTTATTAAATGTACATGATGTTTAAAACTTACCGTTCTCGAGATAATAAGTTGTTTGTGAAAAAAATCACGATTTCAGCTCTCTAAATAAGGCTAGATAGCGTCTAAACCAAAAGAGTTAGAAATCTGCAGTTTTCACAGTTCGTTTTGGCATAAATTACTCTATCTCATCATCTGTGAACAAAACGTGTACGTTATTCAAACTCGGAAATAGTGAGACCTACATTTAATCATCTTACGAGTTGAAAAACTTTTTTTTTTCAAATGGAATGACCCATATTAATTGTCATGGGTGAATGCAAAATTGAATATCCTATCGACTGATATAAGGTTGTCCATACTTATCTCTAACAGTTTTCCAGACGCGGGGGACCAGTGAGTTGGCCTTCAAGATGTCCAGATATGACAAGTTGCGACTTCTTTTTTTGAGGATTTATAAAAAGCAAAGTTTGCGTTACACCACCAACTACCGCGGAAGGTATGTGGCAGCGCATTACAGTAGCATTTCAAGAAATTACGCCAGATATGCTGACCAATGTTGAACAGTCTTTTAAAAACCGAATTCGCTTGTGTATTAATCAAAATGGAGGACACTTCGAGCAACTGATGTAAATCAGCGGTCTAAATATTCTTCTCCTTGTTGTATTCCGAGTTTCAGTTTGTTTCGTTTCGTTTTGTTTTAGTTGTTGTTAGTGGTTTACTTTTGTTTGTCAAATCACTTTTTAAACATACCAGTAACTACTATCGACACTGTCAGTCCCAGGCCTAATATAATTTGAGGGAAAAGTGGTTTTGCAAGGCCTTCTTGACGCTGTTACATAGCTACTTTTTCGGACTTTAGAAAAGAACCTGATTTTTCTGGACAACTGTTAGAGATAAGTATGGACAACCTTATACCAGTCGAAAGGGTATTCAATTTTGCATTCACCCATGACAATTAATATGGGCCATTCCATTTGAATAAAAAAAGTTTTTCAACTCGTAAGATTATTAAATGTGTCTCAGTATTTCCGAGTCTGAATAACGTATGTGTTTTGCTCACAGATGACAAGATAGTCATTTATGCCACAACGAACTGTGAAAACTGCAGGTTTCTAAGTCTTACGGTTTAGACGCTATCTAGCCTCATTTAGAGAGCTGAAATCGTGATATTTTTCAAAAACAACTGATTATTTCGAAAACGGTAAGTTTTAAACACCATGTACATTCAGTAAACTCTACCTAATATTAACCAAGGAATTCAAAAATGCAATAATATGCAGGGTGTTCGATTTAAAATAACAAAGTTATGTAGCGCCTACGCGAAATGGAACATCCTGTAAAGCTAAAAATATTTTCTTTACATAGCCTACATGATTCCAGGCTACTTTTATTAAAACCATTTTTTATCAATTTTGCAGTTGCAGAAGAATCCCCCTTAGGTGGAACACCCTGTATTCATTGGACACACAGAAAGATACGTTAGCACGAGGTTAAAGGGGCACAAGTGTCACATGAAGACCAGAAGTTGTAGAGCACTGAACAGATACGGGACACGCAGTAGACCTAACTAATACCAGAATTCCTATGACAGAGACACAGAGAGATTTTGGTCAAGACTAGACAGGGAAGAGGTAGAAATCCAGAAGAACTTAAATAATTTCAATTGAGACGAAGGGTTAGAACTCCTTGAAATTTAAAAACGATTCATCGGCAAAAATCAAGAATGGGAACGATACAGAACAGGAACTGCAAGCCACACGGAACAAAATTAATATGTATACCTAAAATACCAGCCACAGGACTTAATCTCCAGCTTCACAGTTTCTTCTGAAGAAGAGAGCGATTTGTTGTCTCTTGAAACATCAAGGCGTCTAAACTAAGCTAACTTTAACCTTTATTATAATTTAATTAGTACGCAAACAAATTCTTTTTAATTGAAAGATCTATTTGAAATATATTTCCTTACATTATAGACCGGGAGATATTAGACTGAAGTTCGACGACGTCTTTCTCGTTTATGCCTCTGAGAGTACTGACAGGTAACCGAGAGATAAGTACAATAAACTAAATTTAAAAGATGGACTGCGGGACACCTTCGTGAAAATTCAATTTTCCTTTTCAAAAAAATAATGTGTACAGCGACGTATTTCTCACTTATGCCATGTTCGTAAGTTGAAGAGAAGTATCGATTTTATCACGAAATTTTTTTGGCATAAGTGTCGCAAGAGACCTAAAAATGGAAAACTTTGTAAGAAAATGTGGAAAAACATCTTT